GAAGGAAGGAAGGAAGGAAGGAAGGAAGGAAGGAAAGGGAGGGAGTGATGAAAGGAAGAGGGAAGGAGGGAGAGGAAGGGAGTGATGGAAGGAAGGAAGGAAGAAAGAAGAAAAGGGAAGGAATGATGAAAGGAAGAGGGAAGGAGGGAGAGGGATGGAAGGAAGAGAAGGAAGGAAGGTAGGAAGAAAAGGGAGGGAGTGATGAAGAAAGGAAGAGGGAAGGAGGGAGAGGAAGGGAGTGATGGAAAGAAGGGAGTGATGGAAGGAAGGAAGGAAGGAAGGAAGGAAGGAAGGAAAGGAAGGAAGGAGCTTGACTTCACCAAGGAGATGCTAAAGGGCCTGCCTGAAGCCCTCCAGGTTTCTATTCTTCTCCTTCAGTAGAGCCTCCCGATTCCCAGGCAGGGTCTCTCCAAATGGCAGAAGAGGAAAGCAGTAAGAGATTCGTGGTTAGCTTATTTCCCCGTCACTGCGCTTCTTTGAAGAAAAGACAGCTGACCTGGATAAATGTTTTTGGCTCTGTTCTTTCAGCTGCTTCTCAATCTCTCCTTTGTTCCTTGGCTTCCAAATCTCCTTGGAGGCATTTGGGGACGAGAGTCCCTGCCCTTCCGTGGGGCAGCCTAGAGTTAAAGCGATAGAAACTCACCTGGTTTAAGGTCACATGCAAAGACCGGCCATCGTCTACACAGACAGCCCCCTGCTCAAGCAGGAGAACTTACACCGTCTCAGACAGGTGACTGTCCAGTCTCTTCTTAAAAACCTCCAGTGATGGAGCGCCCACAATTTCTGGAGGCAAGCTGTTCCACTGGTTAATTGTCCTCACTGTCAGGAAATTTCTCCTTAATTCCAGCTTGCTTCTCTCTTTGGTCAGTTTCCAACCATTAGTGACCCTTTGAAGTTACAATGGCACCGAAAAATTGACTCCTGACCAGTTTTTCCACTCTTGCGGCCCTTGCAGCATCCCCATGGTCACTTGATCAAAATTCAGACGCTGGGTCCGTATTTATGATGGCTGCAGCGTCCCGGAGTCACGCAATCTACACCTTTTGCGACTTTCCAGCAAGCAAAGTCCATGGAAAGGCCAGATTCACTTCACAGCTGTGTTACTAACTTAACTAACTGCAGCAAATCGCTTAACAGCTGTGGCAAGGACGGTCGCAAAATGGGGCACAGCTCACTTAACGAACGTCTTAACTTAATAGCGAAAATTTGGGGCTCCACTGTGGTTGTAAGTCAAAGGCTTACCTGTATTTCTGGGACAATCTGGGCGATGAAGACCGAGGGACTCAAATCCCAAACAATTTCAGAAAGAACCATCCATCTTCCAGATTGTAATGGTGTGCGAGAAAGACCTTGGGAGATAAGGTGCAGAGATGCTGCCTAAGGAACGGTGACTGAAGAGACGGCATAGCCCATCGCTGCATAAAGGGTGGAGAAAGAGGATCAGGAGGGACCCTCCCTCATTATTGTGCTGTAATGGAAGTGGAGAGGAGAATTGTATTTTGAGACGTGCAAGATTCTGTTAATGTAGCTTTACAATGGAGTAGAATTAGCTTATCTGGTCGTGTCTCCTGTCTGCTCTATCTGATAAAGCTGACACAGATACAACAGCAGGGCAATAATGGATGGTTGTCCATCAGCCTTGTAAGTCAAAGGGATGCTTGAACTAGATGTTCTTGGCTTCCCTCTGAAATACGAGGAGCATCAGGACCAAGCATGTCTCCATGGGGGAAGGGTATACTCCAAAGTGTGGAGGGTTCCTCTGAGAAGACCTAACCTTGAATCAGAGACCACGTAGCTCCTGTGAGGTGGAACCTTCAGGAGACCTTCTCTAGATGTTTGGACCAAGTGGAGCTAAGTCACAATTGGCAAGGCGGTTTTTGATATATCTTACTGCTGCAATTGTCTATGGCCTTACGGGACTAACCAAGCATAATAACATATGGATAGCAATGACTCCAGTGATGTCAAACTAGATTTTCCTGGAGCAGTGTGGCCATCACATTCTCTCCTGATGTAATTTCCAAGCCACCTCCAGATACCATATCTTGTGATATTTGGGAGTTGTTTCATCCCACTCTCCGTGATCTTAATGACCCTTCACATCCGGTTGTGGGTTCCTACCGCTTCTTTGGAGTTTTCCAACACAACGACATTAAAATTCCAGAACTACCAACTGGACTCTTGTCCCCGAGTTAAATATACATACCGGTAGGTAAAAATGAGTAGGAGGAAGGACAGAGCAGTCAAATATTAACTCCCCCTTGCAAACGGGAGGTTTGGTATCAAAGGTCACTTTTTTTTAAAAAAAGCACCGGGATCGCTTAAAATTGTGGCTAAATTCATATCACACCCCGAAGGAACCAATGTTCTGGTTCTGCAAAATGCACCGTGCCTTCAACTGGATCAGCAGGTCTTTGTAAACGGAGTATCCTAAGCCACTGAAGAAGGTGACGGGAAAGCTAACCAACATGAAGTCTCACCCAACTTACCAATAAGGGAGAATATTTGTAGCCCAGGGTTGAAATGTGGGGTGGTTTTCTTGCAGATGTTTCATTACCAAACTAGGTAACGTCATCAGTGTTAGAAGGCAGGGAGGGTGGGGAGAAGGAGGAGGAGGAGGAGGAGGAAGAGGACGTGGGGTCTTTGTTTTCTTGCAGAAATTGCATTGCCCAAACTAGAGAACCTCACCAGTGCTAGTCCTTGCAGTAATGAAATCTCTGCAAGCAACCAAGGACTCCTTACCCAACTTAGCCTGCTGTGTGAATGCATCTGCTGGTAGCTTACCTGAAGGGGTTCCCCTCGTGATGGGGGATAATTGAGTCAGACTTTCTGAGCATCAGAGTTCTCCAGGGTACGCTTGAGGTTTGTGTTGTGTTGTTAGGAGCTTCTGTCTCAGTGTAAACATAGGCACTGAGAGAGAAATTTGGATTGCTCTGCCCTTGGCCTGCTTTCAAACACGAATGGAGGATTTTTGACACAACCGTTTTCTCTCTTCCTAAGGAACTGAGACTCTCCTGTTTATATAGTCGCTTTCCAACATGCTTACAGTTTCTTGGCAGTGCAGGAAGCAGCTGAGATGGCGAGGTGCTTGTTGATCTTTTTTTTTTTTTTTTTTAAAAAAAGAGAAATGCAAGCCATGAAGCTCTGAAATGATTTCAGAAGGACTTCCAGTTCCTTGTTGATGAAAGGACTCTAGTCTGGGGGCAACAACTTAATTTCTTCCTTGAGTTCTTTTCCCAGTTTAATCCCTTATGGGGCAATCCTGTCTCGGTTCAGTAAGTGGTCATTTCCTCCAGGTCCTCTCTAGCAATTATTTCTTGGCTTTTTAAGGGGGTGTCCAGGGGTACAGCTTCTTCTGAGCTGGGCTGAACTTCTTTAGATTGCAAATAGGAATGGAGTGAGTTGTAAATAAGTAAGCAATGTTCTCCCTGTATACTGAGAAGAAACAAAGACGTAAAACTGTGGTGGTTGATGGTTGCTAAAGGTCAACTAAGCCAGCCTTCAGCCTAGATGGGCATCAAAACCATTTTCAACCATCCATGATAAGTATCTGTCCAGACTGTTCTTAAAAACTCAAGCAACGGAGAAGCCTTGATAGCAGTGTGACTGCCTCTGAAGGACATCTCCTGAGAGACTGGTGGGCTTCTTCGTGCAGTTGGTTGAAAGTCCCATGTAGGGGTTGCAGTGTAGCCAAAGTGGTGGCCCACAATGAACAAACAATCAGCATGAACAATTTAGGTCAGATAGACCAATGTTTCTCAGTCTTAGCAACTTGAAGATGGGTGGATGTCAACTCCCAGAATTCAGTTTTAGACCTCTACCCATCTTCAAGTTGCCAAGGTTGAGAAACAGTGAGACAGACCATGGTTGGCTGAGGAATTCTGGGAACTGATGTCCATCCCTCTTCCAAGATTGCCAAGGTTGAGAAACAGTGAAATAGACCATGGTTGGCTGAGGAATTCTGGGAACCGATGTCCACCCCTCTTCCAAGATTGCCAAGGTTGAGAAACAGTGAGACCACGGTTGGCTGAGGAATTCTGGGAACCGATGTCCACCCCTCTTCCAAGATTGCCAAGGTTGAGAAACAGTGAGATATAGACCATGGTTGGCTGAGAAATTCTGGGAATTGATGTCCACCCATCTTCAAGTTGCCAAGATTGAGGAACACTGAGATACAGCATGGTCTCCCTTGATCCCAGGCTATCTCTTGGTTCCTAACGTAGACCAGACCTATTTGGAGCATCTTTCTAGCTTGGCATCCATGTCCCCAAAGCATTGCAAGATCCATTGCTGGCCTGTGAACAAAACCTGACCTTCTCTACTGAATCTCTCTTGTTTGTTTTTGGCAGGCAAAATGAAGCTAATGAAGACGAGGATTTTCTGCCCACGGGCGAAACGTCCGTCGATTCCTACCCGAACTGGCTCAAATTCCACATTGGTATTAATCGGTACGAGCTGTATTCCAGGCACAACCCAGCGATTGGCACTTTGCTGCACGATTTGGCTGCCCAGAAAATCACCAGTGTTGGTAAGTTGACGCGCCTTGTAGTTCAAGTTACTGTTGCCATCTGTGGGTAGGTGCCTCTGCATCTTCTTGGGCTGGATTTGGGAAACGCTTCTTTTGCATGAGTTGAGTTTGACCGTTGGTGGCATTTATATTTATAGTTATGATATTTAGAGTCTTTTTTTTAATGCACTGCCCCACCCACCTTGGCCCTTAGCTCCACCCAGGTCCCCTGGCCACACCCCCTTTAGAATGCAACTGTTGAGTTGGTCCTTCAGGTCTTAGACCAGGTGTCCACAAACTTGGCACCTTGAAAACTGGTGGACTTCAACTTCCACTTGGCCCTTTGCACGCTGGCTGAGGAATTCTGGGAGTTGAAGTCCACAAGTCATCAAAGGGCCACGTTTGAAGACCCCTGGCCTGGAGAATTGTGACTTTCACACCTGAGAGCAGGTGAAGGTGAATGATGCTTAATTAGACCGACCCATAAATTCTAGGTCAACTCTGTGTCTGAATGAAGTTTATTGGGCTTTCGTCTCAGATAAAATGGAGGTAGGCAGAAGGTAGATCACCCCACCCATGTTTTCATTCAAGGCTAACTAAACATATTAAACTGTGCTCCAGTTTATCTCCAGGATATAAGAGGTATTATACCATCTGTATTTAGCGCTATACTTTTGGCCACTGCCTGTGGAGTTGTTTTGTTTCTCCACGTACCCACAGGATTTTGGGAGTTGAAGTCCACGCTTCTTAAAGCTGCTGCAATTGAGAAACATTGACTTGGGTCAGGGGTCTTCAAACTTGGCCCTTTTATGACTTGTGGACTTCAACTCCCAGAATTCCTCAGCCAGGCACGCTGGCTGAGGAATTCTGGGAGTTGAAGTCCACAAGTCATGAAGGGGCCATAGTTCCCCCATGCTGGCTGAGGAATTCTGGGAGTTGAAGTCCACAAGTCATGAAGGGGCCATAGTTCCCCCATGCTGGCTGAGGAATTCTGGGAG